CGGCAGGTGCATCTAGAGGGGAGAGGGAGAGGGAGAGCACGCGGCAGAGCATGTAATTCCCTTTCGCTAGCAATTATCAGGCCGAGCAGAATGCAGGTGACCAGAATCATCACGGCGTATTCTCGCAAGACAGCATAGTCGCGCTGCGATGGGCGCTACCCCGACCTTGATTATGCACTGTCCACAACCTGCGTTCTTGCGGAATCGGAGCGGAAAGGAGCGCATCCCCGGAAAGGCTTTGGTGTGGAGTAGACAGACTAATCCGAGTCTTGAGCATACTTGCCAGTGCTACACCCCACTACAAGTTGACCAAGGGAGATAGAGTCGATGTGCAGCGCCGCTGCATATTGAGTGAGTTGGGTCCTGAGGTGAGGGAGTTGTGCTGGTGTACGTCACCCCTCTTGCAACGCCTATTTCGCCGCGACTCCACACTCGGCAAATCCGGAGGACACGAGAACGGAGGTAAATACGCACCGATCGGGAGACAGGCGGAGAATGGAAGAGCGTGATGACGCTTTGCAATTCTCCCATTCTTCACTTGGGCGGAATCGGAATAGTCTATACTTATTCAGGTTCGTTTCGCGTTCGCGCTGGATTCACCGGCGCTTCCCTAAAATGGTTGACAAATCTTCAATTCGATAAGTATTGGTGACTTTTCTCAGGTTCTCCGATGTATAGGGTTCTACACTGTGGACAAATAGAAACAAAGAAAAACAAACATTGGGGAAAGGAATACACTCCAAAGCACAGATGATCCGTTTCGCCCGTTATCGCAGACGAATCATCGATGTCTTACCAACCCCCGGCTCTTCAGTACGATAAGGAGTACATGAATAGGACGAAACGAAAAAAAAAAAAAAAAATAAAAAAAAGGAATTCGAAACTTGCAAAATGCAAAAAAAAATGCGAGCCTTGGCGCTGTATCTTGAACAACAAAAGCTCGCTTTGGGTTTAATATGATGATAAGGATAAGATTCAAAGGCACTATTCATGAAAGGATTTTTTGTCAACTTTTTGGGAACCCCTTTTTGGGAACCCTTTTCCTCCATTGTTCTCCCATCCATGTCTTTCTGCCGTTGTCATCCGGGTCGTAGATCCCTATGTCGCAATATGTACCCTTTCGTTCATCGAGGCTGAGGGAAAGAGTGTCTACATGATGTACCTAAGGAAGTTTTGATTCTTCTCAATGAGATGTCCCAAGAAAGCAGATGTTCTTCCTAGGAAAGGACTATATTATTCGGTAAGAGTCCGTCTGACATCCAGTGGCTTCCTTTCGCGAGCTGACTGGCGAAGTGTCGTCTTGTTCAGCTTGTGGTGGATGACTCGAAGAGCTTGCAGTGCCTTAAACATGGATGTTTGCCTGAGCTGCTATTTGTGAGTATTGTAAAGTAAGCTTACAATTTCCGTGTCGCGAACACTCAGCTTCTGCAAACTAGAATTGGACGCTATCCGATAAAGTGGGGTGACCGTAGCATACACATCCGACGGGTCTTTGGCTAGAAGTACTGCACGGGGATCGCCACTTCCTATGGAGATAGCGCAGGACTGAAACGGTATTGTTAACACGATATATCCAACTCCGAATAAAAAAAGGTTACATTTATGTTTTATCTTTGTTTATATGAGGCTGGAAAGAAAGTTCTTCGACATTCAATTTGGTCCGAAAGTTTTGACAAAATTTCGGACCAAATTTTCCTTCATTAAACGGCACCTCCAGATGATCACCAACTAGGACAAGTGCCCATCTTTTGCACAGTTTCTTGATACCACTCTTGTAGAACTGCGGCAACTACGATGAAAAAGAAAGGGGACCTCAATTTCGAGTGGACTGTTAATTTTCATGATAGCTAGAGTTTGGATGAGCTGAGTGCGAACAAATTCCCTGATCGAGATCCATAAGCTTTTGGGGTAGCTTCATCGCCACATGCGAACTTTGCATTGCCGAGGAGGAGGAATAAACTGAGTATCTCTGGAGTCGATCAAGCGTGACGTTATCCACTTTTAAAGTTGATCGGAGTACTGAGGCCGTTACTGGCATACTAGTATAGAGTGACATTGTTTCGAAGTCCCACCATTACCAGCCGAATCTTTTTCCATGCACATCTGCTTTTAGCTAAGCAGGCTACTTTTCTCTGTGATTCTGTGAATGCTTACGTTTACGCAAGGAGTCCTGCTCCCGTTGCCAACTACAATATGTCACGTCTTTCCAATGGGTACAAAGAGGAAGAAGCTCAGTCACGACCACCCGGGGTACTGTGTCAGACTGGTGCAACTTCATGAGAGATCCTTCAAAAAATTTTCCCTGTGACCGGGGTTGCAGAGAAGCATGGCACTCGTCACTCAGTGACCCTAAAAGGTTGCCAACTGACTGGTGCGTACGTTCGGTTGCACCCCCAGGGGGTTGAGTGGACGGCCGTCATTCTGTGCTAATGGCCAACCTATGCGTTGCCTACCTCTGAATAGCTAACTCAACCTGCCAGCGCTGATATGCCAACAGGACCCTGTGGCTGGCAAGCGACATCCTTCCTGAAGGTAGCGTAGGTGTCAGCTCTCTCGACTACAGCAAAGTGGACCTACACCAACTCATAATACAAAATAGGTCAAAAAGTACCTTGACCTATGGGGAACGTTCAAGCTCTGAAAGCTTCTACGAAGCCATATCATCCTCGTTTGAAAAAACCTCAGAGAACGCTCTCCACTGGCCAGGGGAATGAATATTCGAAATATATTTGGATTTTTTTGGAACAATTTGTTTAAAGGGTTGCAAGACTTTTCCCAACCTAATGTGGATAATAGAGAACAGAGAATAGAATGAATAGAGAATAATCTAATATGATTCTTGTTGGAAAAAAGTGCTTACCTCGTTTGGAACTACTGCACCGTTCTTGTACAACGATTCGGAGCTACCCTTACCCTACAAAAAGTTTATAACTTTAATTTTATCGATTTTCCCCACTCCATTACTTACCGTCTCGTCACAAGCTGCTTCCAGTATGCTGTCTAGGTTTCGCAGCACTGCTCTGAGGCGTCGTGGACATACCTGAGAAGAAGTCGTGAGAGTTGACACTTGCAAATGTAAGCAGCAATATCTGTTATTAGGTACTTACGCCGAACTGTTCAGCTACCAAAGTGATTAGCTCTTGAACGGTCAGCACACTGCCTCCAAACCAAATCTCAACGTCCTTTCTGCCACGAAATCGCCTTCAAATAGGAGACTTCACTGAACAGCGCACCATGTAAACACTCGTATGATCTTGAAGGCTACATTCGCCGAATGATGAAAAGGCGGGGGAAGAAATGGTGGAGGCCACAACACTGCCGCTTTCCTCAGGTAGTGCGCCACTTTTCATTTCAACGTTGGCAGAGATGAAGCGTGAACGAGGAAGGCCACAATAGTCTTGAATTTTCGGCACCGATCATCGCGAAATATGCCCTGAAATGGACATCACGATGCTGGACGCCGTTGTTGTGCAGAACAAGTGAGCAGCAAAAAACATAGAAATGTAGAGTTAGTCGTTAATGCCATAACGTTTTTCGCGCAACTTCGCTACCGCATAAAACCCTGCCTGTTGAGAATTACATGAACTGACTAACCGGCCAATGTAGTGTACATACTGTAGATAGCATCCGAATCTGTCAAACAAAGTCGATAGAATGACTACTCCTAAAAATTAACAACGAAAACCAAGAGTTGGATAGATTTTTAAGAGGAAATGATTCATGAGAAGTACACAAGAAAAGAGAGTATCACCTGCAGAAAGGAACGCGATGATCGCCACGGTATGTCCCCATGTATCAGGCACGGGAACCAAGTCCCCATAACCAATTGTTGCCACCGAGATGAAGCTGAAAGAAGGGTACTGATAGAGCTAAACTTATGAGACTCGCGGGCTGTAGGGCTCGGTATATCTCTGGCGTAGCAACCCAACACCCCTGGTGTCGTTATCGTCTAGTCCCATTCCCGTGCAGTTTTGAGTGGGGAAATGTGCGCGGGCCCGCTTACTTCCTACATGGAAAGGACCGTTCTCGGAGGTGAGGATGCAGTCTGCTTCTCAAATATACGCCCACCTCCGTGGATACTGGTATTTGCCATATACGAGGTGAGCGGTGCCCGTGGTGCTAAAGGTGCACGGGAACGGAGTGGAGCATTGTGATGCCCGGGTGCCTCTCCCGACCGCGCTGCCGGCTGCTCTCCTCATCTGACTGATGATCGCTGCGTGGTTTGTATCGATGCAAGTGCCTCGCTCATCTTGACGATAGCGCGAGCGAGTACTGGAACGACATTCGGGTATCACTATCCTCCAGCTCGGTCCCCGTGCTCTTTCGAGCGGAGAAAGGGACACAGTACTTCAGCCGTGGACCCAATCACCTCGAACGTGGAAAGGAACCTTCTCGGAGGTGATTGTACAAACTGTTTTGAAACGCCATCCTACTCACCTGCAGTAGACAGCGTCAATGAACCGCATCTGTCCCATCCACGTGCTGAATATCAGGCCTCCCAGAAGTGAATGCAAACATAATAGCATAATCGATAACCAAAGAGGGAGTCCCTTAGAAACGACGTCTGCCTGAAAGCTCTCATAGTTCTCCGTTCAAACAACATTTATGCAGCTTGAGGGATCCTTGCACGAATTTTGGAAGAATTTGCTTGAATTTGCAATTGCAACGATTCAGCGAATAGCTTTAGAAAGCAGCGTCCAGACTTCGCGATGACGCGCTGCAATGCGCGACGACGCGCTGCAACGATTTCCGCATGCGAACGCTTAATCGATAGGCGGCAGTCGATTGTGTTTCAGAGTATGGAAAACAAGATGGTAGGTGCTGCCCAGTCACGCAGACTGGTATCTATCGGCACTGGTCGCCTGCGCCTACGTTCCCTTGTGTAGCTTTGGAGCGCTGTTGTATTTTTAGCGTGTCACGCGCGTTACACCGCATTACAGCGCGTTGTCGCGCCTGCAGCGTCTCGACGCAAAGTCTGAACGCTGCCGAACTGATTGCGCGGTTTCCGAGTTACGCAAATCTCAGATCACGCTTTTTAGTGCTCGATGTAGTATAGTCTGCCACGAGTTGATCAATAAATCAATACCTTGCCTCTGCAGCTCCTTCGTATTATCCAATAAGCATCAACAGCAAATTGACCGTTATTGGAGAGGATATTCAATGGATCCAATTACACAGTATCCGATACAGACTAGTTTTCCGACATTCGTTGTTGGAACCACATTACCGTATCCTAAAACCTGGGTACTTCACACATTCAGCTTCTATCGAATAAAGTAGGCTAAAGTACGCTGACAAAGGCCATGAACACGTTTGACAAGCACATCGAACACCCACAATGGTTATTATTTAGTGAATGACGAACTAATGAAGGCTGGGGGAACTCCTCCTTCCCAATACCTTCATCTGCGTACTGTAACAAGACGGTTCCGAATAGAAGATAGGCGACCAATAGGAGGTTGAGCAAGACGTGAGGTGTCGCTGAGACCACTAGCTACAACAAGATCATAAATAATATGGGAAATGAAAAGAGGACAATATTCTAAAAAACTGTAGCTGTGCCCAGTTTATAATTGTGAGTTATGTTGTGAATACTGCGATGGATACTTAGTTCGGTAAATTGCCAGGTCAAGCGAGCGAACTGTAGTTTATTGTAATGTACCTATCGAATTTTACGCTCGTGCGGCTCTTTCGTGTTTCTGAAGACGAATGTGCGGCTATGTCACTTGCTCTTACCTCTTTGATGAAGTCGTTCTCGTTGCAACATCGATCCAGTATAAACTCTCTTTTCCATGTATCGTAAGCTCTCATACTTCCTCGCCGAATGACTGTATATCGGCCGGTGTACGTCTTCTATAAAGTGGTAAGTTGTCAAGTGCACAACTATGGAGGCACATTGATATGTTTTCCTGCTCCACTCGCTTCGGATCAGATCAAACCTCGCGAAAAATAATACATACAAGACGCATCAGCGTCTTCTAGTTGCTATTCCGGCCGACTAAATGCTAGAGGCCGCTAGGTAGCAATATTCTCCTGAAAACAAAAATTACCTGACAGAGATCGCGCAATCATCTAACTGATGCGCACTTAATATTAGGTTGTCCGGAAAGTTCTCAGCGTTTTGGGTGTTTCACTTTAAACGATCGTAACTTTTTTAATACTCATCGGATTTAATCGAAATAGGCACCATTCGAATCAGCACACTTTTGCCAATGTGACAGCAGTTGAGATAACCCATCAAAAGTTAAAAACTGGGTGGTCGAAAATTCACGAAATCCACTAAGGCTTTTTGCCTGGTCCTGATTGATGAAGTATTTTCCAGCAAGGGAGTTCTGAAAATGTTAGAAAAGGTGATAGTCGGTTGGCGAAAGGTCTGAAGAATATGGCGGTTGAGGTAGAACTTCAACCCCCAATTCGTTCAATTTATGGATAGTGATTTGTGAAACGTGTGGGCGGGCGTTGTCATGCAAAAGAATCGGACCCTTTCTTTTATAAGTGTTGGCTGCAGCTGACAAAATTTTCGGTACATTTCGTCGATTCCTTCACAGTAGGGTTCTGCTGTGATGGTTTGGCCTGGTGATAAAAAGTTATAGTGGATCACACCAGCCGATGACCACCAAACCGTGACCAGAATCTTTTTTTCGTGAGGGTTCGGCTTTGAAAATTACCTCGGTGGTTCGTCGAAATCCAACCACTGTCCGGAACGTCTCCTGTTATCATACATGACCCATTTTTCATCACAGGTGACAATTCGGTCCAAAACGGGTTTCTTTCTGCTGCGCAAACAGCACGATGTAGAAGAACCTCGAGACGTGCTGCTTTCCTTTGCCGCGTCACTCGATTTGTGGGGCACGCAATTGCCGAGTTTTTTTCACATTCCATTGCTGTTCCAACCATCTGCAACAGTGGAATTGCCAACGCCTAGCTTTCTGCAATCTCTCGAACTGTTTGGGATGGGTCAGCCTCCAAAATCCCCCTAAAATCCTCGTCAGATATTGCTTTAGGTCGACCGCTATGAGGTTCATCTTCAAGGCTGAAATCTCCAGAACGAAATTTGTTGAGCCATTTGCCGCACCAGTGGCTTTCTCTCAGACATTGGGCCCACACCTGGTTAATTTGTTGAGCTGTTTCGATTGCGGATTGCCCCAATTTATAGTCGAAGAAAAAAATCGTCCGAAGTGCTCTTTTCACATGCTTGAAAAAATCTTGAAAAAGGGGTTTATCAAGATTCTCTACAGGATGTGCTACTGAGAAGCAAGGCAGAATGAGTTTTTAATCAGCAGTGAATGTACAAAAAATAGGTGCACAAAACGCTGAGAACTTTCCGGACAACCTAATATACCGTCAGCCTTAAGTCTTAGGATTTGATTGGCTTAAAGGAACGACCCGCGATGACCTATGAAAATGCAAAAAGTTATGTGGGAAGGTAGTGTGGTCCGCAGTGCACAACCCTGTGCCAGTTTCGCCGCGGGAAGTGGCACCGTAAAAGAATAAGGCGCAAATTTGCTCCAGTGCTGCCTCACTTTTTCCAGTGTCTCTGCCTCCAGACTCCGCCTCCAAAGCCCGGCTTCCAGCCAAAGGTAATGATGCCGGGCAGTAGCATGAAGTGGATGCTTCATTGTCTCCTGTAGAGTCTTAGGGTTCATTACAAGGAATCATCCGACAGGGATCGTCCCAGCGCGCGGTCTTTCGGTATTTTACCCGTACAATTGTTTGAAAGGAGGAGTCCCAACAAATGCGTATCCAACGTTCCCTTTGGCATTTTCTCTTCACAAACGAGTCACTTAGCAGGTTTTCTTCCATATTTCCACACCACCACCCTATCGCGGATCGTGCCTTTTAATTAACTGCTGCATTAGACGCCCAGTGAGCGTTCTGCAGGTCAAGTCACAGGAATGCTGAGTTATGGGCAAAAGTCTGACCTCGGAATCATGCCCGCATCTTCCGCTTAGAGGGCGGTTGCGTTATTACTACGCTACCGGGGCCGGTCTTAGCCTCTCAGGTCAGCTCGATGGCTTTCTGTGCCTGCCTTTCTAGCACTCACAGTTCAACTGTGATACCGTAGCCGGATATCGGCAGTTGTCAACGCGTAGAGGAAGGCTTTTTACAGTTGTTGTTAGAGCGATTCAAAAAAATATGCGAAACATGGGGTGTACTCAAAAATGCCTAGAAATTGAAAGTATAAACAATGAAGCCATTCGTTGACACTCAACATCACCCGACCTCGATTGTCGGTTTAGAAACGATGAATGATTGAATGAGTTGTAAAAGTTCGTGGGATAATCCAACAAGACGGAGGTCGCGGCTCGATGCGTATGAATGTGGAGCCGCCCCTTTGTTGCGAAGCAGCCTATTTTTTCGGAAAATTCCATGCGAAGTCCATATGTTAATAGTCCACGGAACTCAATATTATGCAGTAAATATTTCGAGAGCCTGCTTGTATTATTTACAACATCCGATAATGGAGTCTTCTTTGCCATCTTTCAATTATGTGGAGTCTTCTTTGCTCATTCCAACAAATATAAGGATAGAATGACGGGGGTGACCTGCTCTCCCTGGGAAGCGCCACCCTTCAACTTCCATTGGCAGTCGCACTACTGTTCACGCAGACCAAGGCTCGACATCCTTTATCCCTTTACCAGTCGGTCGCCGGCTAGCGCGCGGCGCGGCGGTCGCGTACGCGCGCCCTTTTTTCGCGCCGTCGTATTTTCTTTCACATATTTCTAGACTCAACTGATATCCGCCTTTTGTTCTGTACTCCACTTTTTTCCGGTGTCTGAAGTACTCTTGAGCTATTTTACAGATTTATCTCATCTGGCTCCGCCCCCTTCGGGCTGGCCCCGCACACAATATGTCCACCCACATTTCTCGAGGGCGACCCTTGCTGACCTGAATTCCACTTTATTCGGTCTTCGGAGTGCTCTGGAACCGTTTCACAGACCCTTCTTGTCTAGCTCCGCCCACCTCGGAGCAGGCTCCGCCCACAATTTTTTTGCCCCAAAAGCTAACGACGACCCATCTGCCTGAAGTTTAAAATCACTTTTTTCCGGTATCTGGAGTGTTCTGGAACCGAGCTACAAACTTTTAAAATGAATACCCTGCGATTTAGGGCAAGCTCCGCCCACTGTGGGCGGGTCTCAACACACTTTGAGCGTGCCCTATATTCGCCGGATATTTACATTCTACACTGAGTTTTTGCGACTTCCAAACACTCTCGCGAACCGGGTTACTGAATTTTGCGAGAAGCACCGCCCACCTTGAGTACGCCCCGCCCATTTAGGGTGCACCTCGTATAGTCTGGCACTCCTTACTAACTTTAGTCCCTTTTCCCATCTTTAAGCTGCTCCGAAAGCGAATTATGAACATTTTCTGCGGAACCCCAAACTTTCGGCGAGTGCCCCGCCCACTGTGGGCGGGGCTTGCCATAGGTCAAGTGTGCTTTTTATTTCTTGTCCCATGCCCTACCTATCCCCACCTTGACTGGACCTCTCCAAGTCGTTTTCAGGTCGAACCGAATTTCCGGACAGACAAACTTACAAACTTACAAACTTACAAACTCACAAACAAACAAACAGACAAAGCGAATTATATATTATGGTGGACACCTTTTTCACTGCTGAGACGAATGATCGACAAGAGCCACCTGCCCTCGTCTAAGCTGTTTAAGCTGTGAGGAATGAGAGGTATCCTCGATGGATGTATAACGCTAGTGCATTTCGTCCAGTCAGCGTGAAGGTGCCGCGTTCGCAGCTCCCTTAACGGGAACAAACCTTTTGCCCAGTCAGAAGCCAGCGTTCTTATAATCAACCTTTTGCGCGACATAGACTAGACAGCAGTTATCACACAAACACAGCCCACCGGCTTCGGAAGAAGAGGGCTTTGAAGCGGAAGCGTTACCGGTAGCCTCTGGAAAAAGAAACACGTTCATTCTTCTTCTAAGGAAAAGTCACGCGGTGTTGAAGTGCTTTTCCTTTATAGCGACTGGCGCTGATCTGCCTAAATAACCGTCCTAGCCTTCCTACAGGGTTCGACACTAGCCCAAAGGTGATGTATGCAAGGTTAGGTGTTCTGGCGACAAGAATCGTATTCATCGTCGTGACAACGAGGGGCGGGGCGGAACAAATTAGTGTGGATATTTTCTTCGGGAGGGGATTACACACCTTACTGTGCCACACGCTTCAGGAACGCAAGCGTTCCTCTAGCAAACTGCACCTGGTTAACGAACTTGTTTTTGCACGAAGATAGCCGCTTTATTGAATAGCTAGTTGGAAATCACAGATTGAGCAGCTTTGCTCCTTGTTGAGGCGTGTCCTGGTCAACTTCTGCATGTGTCATCTTTATGGGTAATACATTCATTACCCTCCATTTGGCCGTGTTGCGAGTATTTCTTTAGAGTCGACATTGACGCAATTCAATGTGACAGTAGGTTATCAGAGGTGCTATCAGAATTCATTCAACCTGAAAGGACAACACTGGTTGTCATATCAAATCATCTGTTCAACGGAGAATCAGGCAATACTGTAAGTGAGCACGGACAGACCAGTATTCCCGAGATATCACCCCTTTTCCAAAACGACAAAGTGCTCTACGAAGAGACTCCCCTGAGATTAGCCCCACATTCGACGTTCAGTCAGCATCTTAGAGACGCTGGTTACGTGACAACTAGCACTTTTGGTGAAGGTCCTGCTGCGAAAGGTCGGAGCGCAGCGAAACGAAGTACTGCAGTTGCCAGGGCATAGAGAGATATAGAAAACATGTCACGACAAGGAGGTGAGTTACTTCAAAGGGAAAGGACACCGGGGTAGATGAACCACTTAATATACGTGAAAGGTTGGGAAGTGGGTCACAAAACGCCATGCAGACGTGAGAGCGCTGAGAAGAACAGAAAGTTGGCGCCATCAAAGGGATTGAGTATTAGTTGTCCGTAGACCAGATTAAATGAATCTTTAGTTTAAACTAGTTTTGTGGAGCCGTACAGTATTCACATCAAGGCGATTGGCTTCTCGAAAGCTGTCGTACCGAATAGTCGACTATGGATGGTAACCGAATACCAGGACTGTGAAAGCGCTATTCACAGATCAGTGGGCTCACCATGGCCAGAAACCTTGCGGAAAGAGGCATGGTCACTGGTGTTTAACAAAAGGTTCAACAAGACATGTACCATCGTAATTATCTCATGGACAAAAAAGTAAATGTGGTGAATTCGACGAGACCAGGTCTTTTGATTGACTTCATGAAAAAAAAGAAGCGTTCTCCGAGGAAGTTCCGGACTCCTTTATTTGCCATCCGACTGGTTGTTACGTACAGTTTTTTTTGTGCGGTGATGTCCACAAATCTCACTTGGGAAAGACGGGCTGCTGGAACAGATTTCCAAGTGCCAGCAATGCTGGAATTGGAAGGGAGAGGGAGGGGGAGGTGTCGTTAAAAACACAAGTATAACATTTTTAAGGACCCGTGCCGGCAGTATAGCTTGGAGGAGAGTCACATGGTAGCCGTCCACGAACGCCTTGGCACGATCAGCTGTAGGCGGCAATCAAAGCTCAAATCAAAACAAAACCACGAGGAATCTTGTCACTGTATCATTCACACTACAGGTGTTTGCCATTTGAAGCAATTGGAAGTCAGAGACTGAGTGTTAGGAAATCACCATTCGGCCCATCTTCTGCGTAATGAATGTGATACAATTCCAAGGGTTGTGACTGCCATTAGAAATAGGATGGCTTTCGATATCAAAATGATGATCCATGTCCCGTGGCATAGGCCGACAAGAAGCTATCCACACATCCACGACAGCCTTAGCCTAACCAAAGAAATATTGTTCGTGCGATCTAGCGTTTACGCTAGCGATACGCTAAGAAATACGTGTAGCGTTACACTAGCGAGTGCAAGCATTGTTTCGTTTTTTAGAGTTTTAGGTACATATGCATCGACCGTGGTCTGAGCTCCGCCAATTCTCCTAAAAAGTTTCGGCAATCATAGCATTCCGTCCCCTTGACTACGTCCACTTGCTTTTCGAGGAACTTCGATATTTTTTTCAAAATTCTTGCATTTCCTGCTACTCTTACAGACTGCTACATGAAGCCCCGTCCACTGTAGGAGGCTCCGCACACTTCGAAGAAGCCCCGCCCCCTTTTCAAAAATGGTGCAAATCGGCAGTATAGAGTCTCGACATGCTAGGGTCTCGTTCGCCACTTGGACAAGAAAATCAGGCAAAGTTTGTTCCGAATGATCAGCATTACCCTAGCATGACGACAGCCGAGACTCTATACTATCGATTTGCACAATTTTTGAAAAGTGGGCGGGGCTTCTCCAAAGTGGGCGGAGCCTCTCACAGTGGACCGGGCTTCACTAGCAGTAACAGAAAATTGGAAACATTTAAAACATATCGAAGTTCCGCGAGAAGCAAGTAGGGGCGTGGTCAAGGGCAGCGAAACCTAGATTCTACACCCTCTAGTGGCGGACTCAGCCATTGTCATAACATATATACTGAAACGCTAGACCGATGCCTAGCCTTTCTTGCCTCTACGCTAGCGTACGCTAGCGCAACCGCTAGAATTTGAATTTAGAGTATTCTAGCGTTACGCTGGCGTAACGCCAGCTTAACGCTAGAATACTTATTCAAGGAAACGCTTAGCGCGTACGCTGCAGCAAAGGATAAACGTAGCTATGCAACTTTACTATCAATCTCGCAGGTCTCTCTCATAGGTATGAGTCTGCGAATTAAACTCAGATCCAGACTGTCAACAGAATTCATGGTTTGGGAGTTTCGCGTTGTCTGCGTCCTCCAGAACCTGGATGCTGAAAAATGTTCAAGACATTCGTCCAACACTGTTTCAACGTACAGGGAAATTGAAAAGGACGTGATGAGCAAAGATGACGTCATGGAGGCGATGAAAACTGTCATGAGAGGAACCGTCTTCTGCGATATCCACCACTCGACTAACTCAATTAAGTAATACAAGGAAGGCAAAACTAGGTTAAGGGTTTGCGTCCCGGTAGCGTAGCAAAAAGCTTCGACAAAAAAGCTTTCCTGCCCTCTGAAGAAGATGAGAAGATCGGAACATTAGGCCAAATAAAAGGTTCACCCAACCTTGTTTGACCGAAAGCAATCAAACATATGACATCATACTGAGGTTACAACAAGGCACAACCTGAAGGTACTGAAGCTTTCTATTGCGAATGCAAGGGTCACCTGATTACAAAAGATTCTCTCGCTCAATCGCTACTGGCATTCAAATGCGAGGAAAGACAGTGCGTTACGATGCTGCAAGGATGTGTCAGTTAGATCGAAGGGTTACTGAAGTGTGCAACGAAGACAAAGCGCTTGATATGGGCACTTCCCAGGAAAAAGGCGAAGTATTCTGGTTCCACATGAAATTGTGCGAATATTTAATGAGCAATAAGTCAAACTCGCTCATTTGCGTCCACAGTATTTTTGTGAAGATGGTTAGACGAGGAGGATTTGAAGGAAACATACTGA